GAAACGAAATTGTCTCTTCACGACTTGTGTGAGTTCAAGTGAAACCTGCTCTACCTCTGGTCAGTTGTGGTGAACATTATGTTATAATCGCGGTTAATGGGGTGTAGGACCGTCAGAACAGACTTTCACCGCACCGGACAGTGAAATGACCGGACGTCATGTCACATGAAACGGGTAAGATAGCCGGCAATATAGCCTAAGGTGAGAGGGGTCTCATGCATATGAACCACAGTAGAGCAATGGGTGAAAGCGAAGTTCAGAGGTGTGGGACGACGTAATTTTAAGGTACTGGATTACCTGGAATAACATAATCTTTAAAGGCTTTTGATTCGCTACTGCCATGCATCGCGAATGTCAAATGTGCAATATGCCGAGAATTTTCGAAACAAAATCAACGTGTCCAGTTATAAGCACTTCAAATCCCAGTCTGGAATACAGTTCGTCACTTGCGGGTGCGACAGTGGTGGGCAGTGAATTCCTGGGTGGATTTTGCATTTTGCTTTTTCAAATACCGTATAGGCTTTTTATAAACGGACGTTTCCTCTGCGGAAACAAAAAAAAACTGTCCAAAAATCATCCGCTTATATTAGGTAATATACAGCACTCGCCTACGCACATCATCCTTGCGGACACGCTGATATCATCCGACACCAGCAATGTTTCGCAGACAACGATGATCCAAGACTTGTAGGCGCCTCAGATCATCAGACCGAAGGGCTCAAGTCTCACTCCCATAGAGCAGGAAGGCCCTCACTATGAGCTCGTGTATATGGCGTTTTAGACGGAGGAAACCCATTTCTAACGCCAAAGATGTCGCAGATTCAAAAAGGCACTTCTGGCTTTTACAATACGTGACCTGATTTCAGCTGCTATGCACCCGTCATTGTTGATACAACTGCCAAGGTAGGTGAAGTGGTCAGCTACCACGAGTTCCTCTCCATCAATGATCAAGAGTTCGTCAAGTGGCTGGTGGTTCTGTAACAGCAATTTGAAGGCGCGAAGTGCACACCAAATAATGGGACCACTCTAAACCATTTCCCGGCCAAGTTGTCCTCTTGGGCAACAGAAATAATCTGAGGGGGGCATTCAACATGAGTCTACTCAATTAATTTGTTCCGTGCATAGGAGCTGCAGCGTCCCACTTGCACCCCTATGACTTAGTGCGTCTGAGGTCCAACTGGCTGAAGGCGACGGGCTATACACGCACATCTGCACAAGTGACTGGCGTACGCACGGAACAAATTAATTGAGTAGACTCATGTTGAATGCCCACTCAGATTATTTCTGTTGCCCAAGAGGACAACTTGGCCGGGAAATGGTATAGACAGTGTCGATTGTGCCGCCGCAACATCGTCGAATAGCAAGACAATATCGTCAGCATAATCAAGATCAAGTAAGCTCTCACCAGGCACAACCCCAACGCCTACGTCGTGAGATTCCACAAGTGCACACTCCATGATGGTCCACGACGAAATTGAACGAAAATGGGGAAATCGGACAATCTTGAAGAACGCCACTTGTTGTCGGAAAGATATCCGACAGGTCACCGTAGAACCTGACGCGGCCTGTAGTGTTCGAGTAAAGAGCACGTAAGATGTTCACATATTTCGTGGTAACACCTTTCTGCGCAAGTATTTCCAACAGAGTGCATCAATCTGCAGAATCGAACACACTCGTAAAGTCGAGGAACACATCTATTGTCGGTCTGCGGTATGTGTGGCGCTGCTTTATCCCATGCCGCAGAGTGAATATGTGGTCTATACAGTCCCCTCGCGAGCGGAAGCCTGACTGCTCTTCCGTAATCCGTGACTCTCGCTCCGCAGTGAGGCGATGAACAAGAATTGAAGGTAGTACTTTTGTCACCACCGGCATTAGTCTAATACCCATGTGATTAGCGCAGTCGGTGCGATTGCCCTTCTTGTGTATCGCCACTATGATGGATCCACTCCAGTTAACTGTGATGGTATCTGCCTCCCAGATGTTTGAACAGAGAGGTCAGTGTTTTGCAGAGGACCTCACCTACATCCTTAAGTAGTGCTGGTGTGAGCGAATACGGGAGAGCAGCAAGAAAACCATTAAGGGCTGTGATCGCGTTTCGGACCTCGGCCTCCGATGGAGACTAATCGTCCATGGCTCAGCCTGCAACAACTGAGTAAGAAGAGGTAGAGAGGCAAGTGGACAACTAAACTGCTCTCGAAAGTGCTCTGCCCAACGATCCATACAGCGCTCCTTATTGTGAATCAGGGCACCCGCGCTGTCTTTGACTGTCTCACTGACGCGTGGTTTCCTAGGCCGGTGGTGCGGATCAGCTAGAAGATTATGCGGTAATTGCCAAATGCTCCTGATTGTTCCATTTATTTAGCCCGACTGGTCCACCATGCTTCCTTGTCAACACACAGGCTCCGCTTTAGTTCGCACCTAGTAGTCTGTACGGTCACATGTGCTCAGAACCAGAAGGGAGTTTTCTTCTGGATTCCAACAGGTTCACCGACCTCATATATCCAGTGACTGATACGATGACGACTGATATTGCCGAAAGCAAAGGCTCCTGCATGTTGCAAGGCGGCCGAGATTCTATTTCATTGAAGCTCAGTGTCATTAGGACAACAGAGTGAAAGTTCGGTACCCAAGGCATCCTGGTAGGCTATCCAAACCGAGGACTGAGATAAATGTTTAGTTGCCAATCGATGGAAGCGCCTGGTGCGCCTCCCGGTAAAGATCGTGGAGAAACGACAGGGTGTCAATGCATGTTCAGAATCGACGCAGATACTCCAGAAGGAGCGATAATCCAGGATGGAACCAAGCTACCTGTTACTTGTTTCAACGTGATCTCTTTAGGTCCATTGCTGGCCAGCTACAGCAGGACCCTAAGAAGCATTTCGGCACCCACTGTGTTTAAAAGCGGTATTACTAAGAAACCTCTGGTGCTCCGCACACAGCTGTAACAGATGCTCGCAGCTGTCCATCTGTTCGGAGTTAAATCCATACATACTACCTTGCAAAGCTTCTAAAGAACTCAAACGACCTACTTGAGCGTTCATATCCCCTGCAAGTACTATGATATCTAAGCTGGTAACACTGCGTAGTAACGTGTTCAGTTAGTCGTTGAAAGCGTCCTTCGCAGCACAAGAGCTGCAATTCGTGGTGGCATAACCGGAAATCCCAAACAAACAGCGCCAAGTGCTACACCTTGAATCAACCTTAGTTGATGTCGTCAAACGGGCTGCAGACAAACGGCTGTTCACCGGAATCCAATCAACCAAGGAGGACTCAGCCGTGGAGCTTAGAGCAATGTCCACTTCAGGTTGACCAGTGGTTGCCACATTAGCGTCGCCGGATGCGTGCAACCAATAACGAGAGGACAAACCAGGAACAGTTAATTCAACAACCCCATTAGGATCATTGATCATAGTTTCGGACACACAACATACGTCAATACCCAGGGTGGCCAACGTGCGTGCGAGTGTCATCTATTGATCTATTTGTCTTAGACTACGAAAGTTGAACGCAGCCATGGAAACAGGACAGCGTGGCATTGTAAGAGGCTGTTACCGATAGGTGTCCGGTGGGTATTGCGGGAAGGTGGTTGAGATGGTTTTACTCCAGTGGCACTTCGGTTGCTGTCAATTAAGCTGGGAATTATAGTAGGAAGATTAATAATGGGGGACGGGATAGGTATAAGGGAAAGAGTTGGATACTAAAGAAGAGAGGCGTCAGCAGTAGAATATTTTCGCTTATCCGCCCTGCTGTATGCAGCAGATAAGGCGACCCTTGATAATTTGTGCGACAACCGATGCAAGATGTAGAGTTTGGGGAATTGTCATGGTTGTATGTGGGCTGAGATATTGCAAGGGCGCCCAGATCTAGACAAGAGGACGATTAGGATTCTCATCCAAAGTCTGGTTCAATAGCCTGTCAACAAGGCAGAGGGGTAAAGGCAATGATTTAGTTTCACAGAAATGGAGGCCATCCCATTCCAAACCTCCAACCTAGAGGACCAGGAGACTGAGTTTGACTGACCTCTAATCATCTCGTTGCGACAGCTGGCTCCAGCAGACTGAGAATCGTGCACGGTCCTTGTAGCCGTGCTAGAGTCAAAGAGTGCTTCTATCCAGTGTGGAGCGGACTACAGCCCAGCCACTGTCTTGCGTACGTCTGGTACGCATGATTCATCACATAGACGTGCATGTTGAACTAGTGTGGGCCGGCTCCGTTGATGAAAAGTGGCTCCCATCCACATGCCTTTCGGTCGTATTTTTTCGGATTCACACTGGATATGGGGTGTGGATAGAACTGTGGGTGGTGTAGCGCAAGCCACCCATGGTCCTTCTGTAGGCGCAGGCGTCCTGTGGCTGGCCACAGTGACAGAAAAATCCGAAACCGGATGCCACCAACCATACAGGACATGGCTCGCAGCCGACACCCAGCTGCGCGTCTGCTGTCGTCTTCTAGTCGGACTTCCAGTTGAAATTGTGTTTGGTGCTGAGTTATGTGCATGGTAATAGCTGATTATGACGCCGGGTATTGAAAACTCCGGTGAAGAAGCCTCAAGCATGCAACATATATATATATATATATATATATATATATATATATCGTCGAGGGGCTTCTCAGCTAACCGCTGCACAATACAATTTTACGTGAACCTGTCACACAAACAGCCGTCGTATCGAACGTATTTAGTAGTGCGCATATATCACGTGATTTTTGTTGTTGTTATTGCCTTATGAAACACCATAATCCAATTATCAGGCAACATGCGCGTGAGGCGGTAACAGGACAAACGGTTTCACACCGTGCACAACGGGTAACTTTGGAAGTTATGCTAACACAGGACTGCCGTGTGCGTGTGTCCACCATATTGTGAAATAGGACAAGAGGCATATGGTTATAAGAACTGAACGCCGAACAAAAATTGGTGAGATAGCTAAATTCGGGTGCAAAGTTACTCCAACCATATTTATTAACATGGACAAATGAAGGAGAATGTGGTAACCCACCGTCGCGCGTAACAGATACCTCGACGTCGGATTCCAGTGACCTGGCGGATCGGTAGGAGTACCGACGTGGACTGCAACGAACGGGACGCTTCAGTTCGCTCTCTATTGATGCCACAGAACGATTCATGGTCTCGGGCAGATACAGGAACAATAAGACGATGATTACCAGAAGAATACAGGCCGACGGTATGAACGAGTAGATGTCAATGTAGTCCTGGTTAGAAAAGGAATAAGTCCATTGCGCAAATGGGATATAAAATAGCTATGGGACTCGTATAAATTACTTATAAAATGTGAAAAGACCTTAATTTGTTCATCGTGTGTAAGAGCACCAATAAATGAGCAAGGAAAATAGTGGTTCCGAAAAAGTCAGCAATTTGATGGCAATCGACAGTGTAAGTGGCAGGATCGGGTTACATATATTACAATGTCAACAGAATCGCCCTGGAAGAATTCAGAAAAACAATAAATCATACTGTCTGATTGGTCAGGGACGAACACTCTGTGCTACGCTGCTTGCTGTGATGTGTGCCTCGGTAAAAAACAAATCAGGTTACTGTGAGGTTCGAGCTACCACAGATGTAACCTAATGCCATCGGCGATTTGCGCGCTACGGCGTGGACACGCGGGTGTGAAGACGAAGGAGAATGTGAATAAGCAAAAATTTGGTTGTCATCGGCAGAAGCGCGTATATTCGCGCCTTGCTGATCTAAGACCTCAACTTGAGAATGGTCAGTCAGATAACGATAAGCTAGAAAAGAAATGAAGGGAACGTCATGTGGAGCATAGGGGACATTGAACAAAGAGGGTTACATGTTATTAGTGATTCAGAATCCGTGCGATTCATAACTAAACCAATATCACCCGTGACAACACAGCACCACACACTTTAGACAGACAGGTTGGTTGGGCGAGAATACTGAGGAGTAACTGGTGTCGTATGCCTGCCATTTCCAGTCGTGTGCTGAATCAAGCACAGTGGGTCTTGCAGACCGTAACTTGTAAGATTAGCGATTTCATTTCCCGAACAAAACGGATCATCACCACAAAGTACTAGTCAAACGTGTAGAAGCCGGTGCTGCACGGCTCGAGCCGTGCTCTGTAGGTGCCTGCGATATTCAGTGGAATTGTATCGGAGAAAAACCGCCACTGTCACAGTTCCATGAGAGCAGTCCTGTCATCCGCGACATGTGATGCTACTTCGGTAGCCACATGCCCATCCCAAATGACATCGTCTCTAAAACGTACGGAATCATAATCTGGTAATCAAGGACCGATGGGCTAACGAATAGCTTGTGATGCTGCAGCACCACTTTGAAGACGCAAAGCGCATGCCAGAAAATTGGACCATTTCGGAGAAGTAGTAATGAGTTGATTGTACCGTAGTGCAGTCGCCAAAGAGCATGGTAGTGCGATACAAGTACTCCAGAGCGACACGTTTAACCCGGACGGGAAATTAATATCAGCTTGATAATAATTCACAAGGAAGTACTCCGTGATGTTGTGTAGGACAAAACTGAACAGAAGTATGGAGCTAACACCAGCAAACTCCACTTTTTGTCGGAACGGATTCCAACGATTCACCACAAAGTATAACAATATATTCGTAGACCTCATGGGAACATGTTGTCGGCTGGTGGCCGAAATATTTACACACCTGCCATGTAATCTGGCGACCACCGATTTGAATCCGCCTTGGTGCTGGCGACCTTGCAGTAGACCCATCCCATGCGCCACTGTGGGTGGGCGCGTGGCAGCGAAACATCGTTACGTTGTGCCGGCATACTGCCGACGCCTTTAGGGAAATACCTAACCGGAAAAGTATATCAAACATACTGGAGTGATCGACTGAGTTGAACGCCCTCCTGAACTAAAGAAACAGCTATGGCTAAGTTGTGGCACATGCAACACCGTTGTAGCATTTGTCTCATAGTGGAAAATGCGACTTGTGTTACCCGGCCTTTAATATGGGATTCCAGTTCCGAAGTGAGACAGCGAACCAGAATGAAAGTCAGTACTGACGTCACTCTGTTGCCACGACGATCGATTCGTTCCAGCTGGCTGGGGTAGTTCCCTCCTTCCATACCTTGACTGCTGAGAACCCAATCACCATCTTTAGACACGAGACAACCTGGAGCAGTAGTGGTTGGACAGCCAAATAAAGGCAGGATAGCAGATTTATATTAACTGGTCCTGGATCAACCATGTAAGCTGGCGGCGTCCACCAGAATCGCTGCGGCCAAGGAATCAAAGGATGCTCTCCTCTGAAAATGAAAAGTTGAAAATATCTCTATGTCGCTGATTACCGACATTCTGAGACGTAAGTCCGGATTAAACAGCCCGAACTGACTGCCCGTTGCAACTGCTGCTTCCACTTCCCGAGTATCTCTGAGGCATTGTCTTCAAAGTGCAAGCCAGGATCGACGCATCATCAGTTGTAACGACCGTCGACCAGGTCGTCTAGCTAATTAGCTGCATCGCTAGTTTTCGTCAAATCGCTGAAACGTTGGCAGTAAGATTCTTGAAACAGTGCAAATTCTCACCCAATTATGGAGGCAGTGTGATAATAGCTAATCAGTCGAGGGCACGGTGCACAACGGTGCAAGACATCGGGGATCAAAAATATTACCGGTGTAGGTTGCGATCAGCGACTTCTATGCATGGGCGATGCGAAGGTAGCCGGTCGTTTGGGTGAACCGAACCGACGTGGTGCGAGTAGACAAGAGGTAAGTCAGGCGCCCCATATGTGAGTTAAAATCGATCGTAACGGCCAGAGGGAGGAAACAGAATTGGTTCGGTCTAGTGAGAACGAGGCGCAGCTTGGTAACAGACACGGGGGAGCGGCATGGTGGAATACAAGCGGGCGAACAACACATGCACGCTAACGCTAGATCAACGACGCCGTCCAACAAGCGGACGGAGCCAACATGTCACCCGTGAACAGAAAACGAATCAATTAACGGCCACGCGGTCCCGCATGAGTCAGGTCTGAAATGGTCTTTGATCTAGCAGCGGGGGCTAGACAGAGCACATCGTGCAGCTCCAAGAAGGTGCACATACGGTATAAAGTGCGATAATGAAAAGTAACCAGTGAGTAGCAGCCGCAGTTGAGTGCTGCTTCAAATTTTCGTATGTTAAAATTATTGAACGTTTCGTGAACAAGACTTGTGATCACTATCAAGACTGTTTTGATTCTCGTGTGGTAACACAACAAGACCAAGTGCCTATGGGGTAGTGAGCTTATCGAGTAATGGCGCTACCCTCCAGTCGGTGTTTCACAATATGCTGTGGCCACGCACAGAACGGCACGCGATAGTGAGGCCAGATGTTTTGTAGATCTACTGACCGAGCACCCGCTACTGTTCTGAAAAAGCTCCAGGATAACAGGTCGATGAAATAGCAAAATCCTAAACACTTCGACAGAATTGAAATCCATGGGCAATCCGCTATACTTGCCGTCAATCGCCTCGATTGACGGCGAAGTTTCCGGTCGAAAATGGGAATAGTCGGCAAACGTGTCACGAAACGAGTCGCAATCAAGAACGGACACGTTACTTCAAACGAAGGCTTTTATTATCTATCTAGGTCTATCGCTCGTCAGCGAGCCAAAGAAGTCAAGCGGTACACAGGCATCCACTTTACCTGAAGGAATCGCTGTTTACAAACTCTCGGAATCAAATTTGTTCCCAAGTAACGGAAACAATTCGAGACAATCCCACAATAACAACGACAGAACTGGCAATGAAGGAATATGCGGATTGATTTACAGAGCCTTCTGCAGACACTGAGAAATACTGTTTTGACCAGACATCGAGAAAACCTGGCACAGGAATACACAGCCTAACCACCTTCCGACACGAACTATAATATCGGTGCATTTAGACGCAGAACATCATCAGTTTGATTTGCAGAATGTCAGGATAACTGACAGCGAGAAATCTGAAGGCGCATGAGTTCACTGAGGTCTGGCAGTCGGAGCAAATCTCGATCAAGAAACTCTTGGAACTAGATACTGCATATGGAACGCTGAGAGTCAAACAAGCAGTCTAATTTAGGTTAAGGAGACATAGAAAACGCCAATGAGGTAGATGGAGGTCAACGGGACGGAGAAGATTATTACTCGCGCATGAACCCAACTCAGCAAACGATCAATACTCACTTGGGTCTATAAGCCCGAAAAAGTTACAGTAATGATGTCACCTAGCCTGGCGATGAAATGTCTGCAATCAAAGTAGCCGGCTCAGAGAGCACCCAAGGAGCCTCGACCGCACACCGAGCTACAAATATTCTCCGTTACCAGCGCTGGTTAAAGGAACCTAATTTTGGATACATTTCAAAAATAAATGACGGAGGATATAGGCGCGTGCAAAGTTAAACCGGAGCATACGAGGGTGAATCAAAAGTAACTGGTATAGTTATCAACACAGGAACATGTATCATACCTCAAAATGAAGCTGGTACTTTGTGGATCACATCCCCACTTCTCAACGTAGTCATCGTATCACAACGTTCCACCTTCGAATGTGTGCATGTATCTCTGCCTCGTAAAATTCCGTCCACGGTTCTTTGGACCAGTTCTTTACTACAGTTTTCACTTTCACGTTACTGGAACAATGTTGCCTCTCACTCTTTCATGGGGCCAAAGAGAGGATAGTCTGAAAGTTCTCAACCTGGTGAGTATAGAAGATGTGATCTCAATGTAGACCTCAAACCCTGACGAGTATCAGACCAAGAATCCGACGAGTGAAACACAACTTTCTAATGGACAATGTCCTTCTTCTGCATGACAATGCTCGACCACACACAAGTATCACGACAAGGCGGATAATCGCCTCATTCGGGTGGAAAACTATACCACAGCCACCATATTCACCAGACTTCAGACTATCAATTCTTTGGCCTCATGAAAGTGGGTTTGAGATGCAAACATTGTTCCAGTGACGTGGAAGTGAAAACTGCAGTGGAGAAGTGGCCTAAAGTACAATCAACGGAATTTTACGAGGGATACAAGCTTTCATTCGAGGATGGAACATTACTATTGAGAAAAGCGGTGACTATGTTGAGAAGTGGTGGTGTGATCCACAAAGCACCAGCTTTATTTTGAAGTACGAGAGTAGAGCAATAAGTTTACGGATGTACAGAAAGTTTTATTTTTATAACAAAATAAGCATTGCATTTCCTCGAAGTACTCTTCACCAGCGTTCTTGAATAGTT